TTCTACAACACACCCTCTGTACACAGTATTGTGTGTTCACCACCTGAAATGGTCTCTGCCCATCACCATTTATCCCCTCTATTCCCTCCTCTGCATCCCCTCACCCCCAGCAATCACCACACTCTTGTCCATGTCCATGAGTTCTTTCTCTTGTTTTTCTTTTGTGTTCAATTCCTCCACCGCCATCACCACGCCCCACCACCAGGCCCCACCACCAGCAGCTGTTAGCCTGATCTCTATTTATGAGTCTGTCTCTATTTTAATTGTTAGTTCATTGTGTTTATTAGATTCCATATTTGAGTGAAATCATATGGTACTTGTCTTTCTCTGACTGGCTTATTTCACTTAGCATAATGCTCTCCAGGTCTATGCATGCTGTTGCAAAGGGTAAGATTTCTTTCTTTTTTATGGTCAAATAGTATTCCACTGTGTAAATGTACCACAGCTTTTTTTTAAAGGGGAGAATGATGATTTTTATTTTTATATATTTTATTGACTTTTTACAGAGAGAAAGGAGGAGGGATAGAGAGTTAGAAACATTGATGAGAGAGAAACATCGATCAGCTGCCTCCTGCACACTCCCTACTGGGGATGTGTCCGTAACCAAGGTACATGCCCTTGACCGGAATCGAACCTGGGACCTTGAGTCCACAGGCTGATGCTCTATCCACTGAGCCAAACCAGTTAGGGCAACCACAGCTTTTTTATCCACTCATCTGCTGATGGGCACTTGGGCTGCTTCCAAATCTTGGCTATTGTAAATAATGCTGCAATGAACATAAGAGTGCACATATTCCTTTGAGTTAGTGTTTTGGGTTTTTTCGGATATATTTCCAGAAGTGGAATCACTGCATCATAAGGCAGCTCCACTTTTTATTTTTTGAGGTAACTCCTTACTGCTTTCCACAGTGGCTGCACCAGTCTGCATTCCCACCAGCAGTGCACAGGGTTCCCTTTTCTCCGCATCCTCACCAATACTTGTTGTTTGTTGATTTATTGATGATAGCCGTTCTGACAGGTATAAAGTTGTTACAGAAGACCAGAGAAAAACCAAGCCATGCTTAGAGAAAGGGAGTTACATTTTATCATTAAATTCTGCGCAGGCCCAGAGAAAAATGTGTCTTTCAAATTCTGGGGCCCCCAACATGGAGGAAACTTTTTCTATTTATACTTTTTCCAGTCCTTTGTCTCCCAAATTTGGAATGAGACTTCCAGGCCTTCTGAGAAAGAAGGCCTGTGTGCTGGGAAGGGACCATGAGACCATATCTCAAGGCCTGGCCTGGTGCCAGCACTGATAATTCTGTCTAGAGCAGAGTTGATGGCCTCTCTGGAATGGGAGAGTCATATTTTCCTTATTATTTAAGCAAGCAAGTGTTTACAGAAGCCAAAATAGCAGGGTTAAACTTTCAAACAGCAGTTTTTATATAAGATGGATGCTTCAAGGTAATATCTCATTGTGGTTTTAATTTGCATTTCTCTGATGATTAGTGATGATGACTATTTTTTCATATGTCTATTGGCCATCTGTATGTCCTCTTTGGCCATTTTTCTATTCATGTCCTTTGGCCATTTTTTTAAATTGGAGTGTTTGTTTTGTTAGTGTTGAATTTAAAAAAGTTCTTTGTAAATTTTGGATATTAACCCCTTATCTCAATGTATTGGCGAATATGTTGTATCCCTTTCAGTGGGTTGTCTTTTAATTTTGTTGATGGTTTCCTTTGCTTTACAAAAACTTTTTAGTTTGATGTAATCCCATTTGTTTATTTTTTTCTTTTGTTTCCCTTGCCTGAGGAGATATATCAGAAAAAATATTGCTATAAGAAATGTCTGAGATTTCACTGCCTATGTTTTCTTCTAAGATTTTTATGGTTTTGAGTCCAATATTTAAGTCTTTTATCCATTTTGAGTTTATTCTTTTGTATGGGGTAAGAAGGTGGTCTAGTTTCTTTTCTTTCTTTCTTTTTTTTTGCATGTATCTGTCCAATATTTCCAACACCGTTTATTGAATCAACTATCTTTACCTCATTGTATGTTTTTGCCTCCTTGTCAAATATTAATTGACTATAAAGACATGGGTTTATTTCTGGGCTCTCTATTCCGTTTCATTGATCTATATGTCTGTTTTTGTTTTTTTGCCAGTACCATGCTATTTTGATTACTATGGCCTTGTAGCATAGTTTGATATCTGGTAGTGTGATTCCTCCAACTTTGTTCTGCTTTCTCAAGATGCTCAACCATTGAACTATGCCTAATGGGCTCATTTAGCTCTTTTTCTGCAGATTTCTCCCATTCTGTCATTTTGGGCCTGTTTCTTTGTCTCCACATTTTGACTGCCTCTGTGTATGACAGATTTGCTATGACTCCTACCCAGTCTTGGTGGGTTGGCCTTATGTAGGTGGTGTCCTGTGGAGTCCAGTGGTGCCATCTCCTTGATCACCTGAGCTGGATGCTCCAGCAGTGTCCCTTGTGGGGGTTATGTGGGCCTCGCTGTTGTAGTTGTCTTGGCTGGTGTTGGCTTGCTCATATGTGGAATTGACGACCTTTAGGCTGGCTGACTGTGAGGCTCAACCCCAACTAAGATATGTGAGTTGCTGTGCAGGTGCTGACCACATGGAGCAGAATTTGCCTCAACAGAGTTTGGTGCCCGCTGTGATCTCCTTTTGGATATGCTGCTTGTGAAGCTTATTGGATCCTGTTCAGTTGTTGTCTGAAACTGGCCACTCGGTGTGTTGGTTCTGGGCCTCTTGAGAGGGTCTCTGGTACAGGCCAATAGAAGATGCTGCCTGTGACTGGTCCTTGGCCAACTTTTTGGAGCTACAAGTGATCCACAGCTTATGGCTCCCTCTGCTGGGCCTGGGTGTGCACATAAAGGACCAAGCTGCACACCAAGGCTGGCTTTTACCAGCACCGAGCCCAAGGGCAGGTCAGCAGATGTCCTAAGGCACCCCAAGATCTGGCTCTACCTGCCTCCACCTGCAGGCTACCTGTTGGGCTCAGTCACTGAAAAGCCTCTGGCTGTACTTTTCCACAAGGTGTAAGCACCACAAGGTGGGACAAGAGGGAGACCAGAGGGTGGGGTTATTGCTTTCTCCCAGGGCTGATGTTACAGGGCGGAGAGTGCTCCACCCAAAAAAGATGGCACGGGAGAATGACTCAGCACAGGGTCCTGCTCCCTTTAGCTCTCTGTTCAGAGCCACAAACCCCAGCCCCTCCCCATGTGACTTCAGTTTGTCCACCTCCTTCAGCAGGAGTCCAGGGTGAGTGGCTGCAAATGAAATTTTGTGTGTTGGCACTTTAAGGGGCCAGATGCTATGTGTTGCCTCTTCCTGGCTCTGGTGCTCTGGGCTGGGGAGCCCGGCTTAGGCCCCATGTGTCTCAGGGGGAACCCCTTGCAGCTGATGTATCATTCTGTAATCTCAGCCACTTCTCTGGGAGTGGGGCCAGCCCTTTTTGCATTTCTGCCCTTCCAGTCTCAATGTGGCTTCTGCAAATCCTTGGTTTTAAGACTTCTTTTCAACTCATCTTCAGTTGGTTATTCGGGATAATTGTTCTATAATTTATTGTAATTCCAGTTTGGTCTGGGAAGAGGTGAGTATAGTTTCCATCTACTCTGGCACCACCTTGGATCTCCCTGGATTGATTTTTGAGCTACTTTGGGTGGTATCTAAAAATTCAAACTACATTTAAACCTGAAATCCAAGAATATACTTCTGCAAATGGCCCAGAGAAGAGAGTATGATCAGAAAGCTCCACTAGACTGTAAAGAAGATTCATAGTCCAATAATGGAAATATTGCTCATTGATTTTCAGTTTTTAGAATTACCTTGTAAACAAGCCAAAGAAGAATGGACTATCACTGAAGCAAGGAAGCATAGGAACATTCATCTCCGGTAAAAACTGCTATTTGAATTTTAACCCTGCTATCCTGGCTTCTGTACACACCTGCTTGCTTAAACAATAGGGTAGTTACCTCAGTTTCCAGATCGAGACCGGGAAACTCACATAAATCACCCCATTTTGTTGCCAGCCCACATCCCAAAGGTTACTCTCCTGTGTCTGAGGACCAGAACCACAAAATTGCTTTCCTTAACTCAGTGGCTCCAGGAATACTTTCTGATGACTCAGTTTTTCCAGGAACTGAAACTATAGATAACCTTTGGAGATTATTAACTTTGTTCAATTTTGCTTCTGTAAAACTGCTTTCGCAAGATAATTCCACATTCCGATGTCTAGCAGGATGTGGTTTTTGCCTTTATAAGCTGGCTACTGCTCTCACTCAGGCGCTATGAGATTTGGAGAGCATTTGCCCCCTCGTAGCTGCCGGCTTTGAAATAAATGTGGCTCCTTAATTCGACTTCTTGAGGCATCCTTGTGTGATTCGTGGGGTACATTACAACATAACTATACAAGAGAATGTGACTATGATTAATTTTTAAATGTAATTTTTAAATGCTAAAAGGAGGTGCAGTGGGGAGCAGAATAGAATTTGGGTTAGTAAGGGTCTCATTTTAAGAAAGTGGAGAATCAAGGGATACTGTCTATAATTGGTCGAACAGTTAATAAAGATCTGGATACATAGTAAGTTTGCAGAGGAGAGAACTGTGAAGGGCCTGAGTATAGAGATGTCACTCTACTAAGAAGATCAGGGAAGAGAACAGATAGGACCAGTGAATACATGAGCTAGGAATGAGATAAATAGTTCTAAGATGATGCACCAAGAAATAATAATACAGTATATTATTTTGGAAACATTGAGATCACCACCGGATATCTAAAAACAGAAACCATTAGAATGCTTCTCTTTGGGAAATTGTACTGAAATTAGGGTGGGCTCAGGTGGGAGACTCTGGCTTTACTCTCTTGGTACTTCAGTACTATTTAACTATTAGGAGTAAGGGCATGATTACATATTTGTGAAAAGAAAGCCTTCACCAACACAATGGCTTTCAAGAATGAGTACGAATTTGTCTGGAAGGAAGAGAGGAAGAGAATTCTACAGAATGTGGAACTGCATGAGCAAAGGCACAAGGGCCTACAGTGAACAACATACTTTGGGAATGTCCAGTTCTCCATGTGGCAAGAGCATCGGGTACATAGGTAGGATGGAGCAGAAGGTAAGGATGTGAAGGTGAGCTGGCACCACAATAACCGTCTTGCGAATGATGCAATAGAATTTGCATTGTGAGCTTCTTGAGGACAGGAGCTACGTTATTTTATTAACCTGTATCCTGTAAGGAGCTTGGAACACAGTAGTTGCCCAATAAATGTTTTCTAAATGAATGAAAGATACCTTGGGGGAACCACAAACGCTTTTAAGCACAGCAGTTGCATTTCTTATTTTTGGACGATAATTTTGTACTGGAAAAAGATGAACTAAGATTGGAGAAGCCAAAAGCAGGGGATGGAATAGGAGGCTATTAGGAGAAAGGTGATGATATAAAACAGGATAGTGACAGTGGGAATTGAGAGTGGAAGACCTACCTGGGAAATGTTAGCAAGGTAGAAATGGGTGAGAGGACAAAAAAGGGGAATGAGTCCAAAATGGCCCTGAGATTTCTAGCTGGGGAAACCAAGGTGATGCTGGTTCATTAATTGAGAAAGAAAAATAGGAAAAGGGAACAGGTTGGAGAAGTGAGTTAATAAATGCAATTTTGTGTATATCGGGTTTGAAAGATTTGAGGATGATGTTTTAAAACTGGTGAGTCTGGAATTATTAATGGCTTATGAAATCTACTTGGTGAACCTAGACAAGTAGTTTTTAATGAAATAGAACATGATAAATTTTAAAGTGTATCGTATGTGGTAAGGTTAACTGTTGTTCCACAGAACTTTTATTTGCATGTATGTAAGTATGTATGTAACTGGTATAAAATGTGTCTTACAACATATGTCAAAAGAAATGTTTGAGATTCTCTGTCCTTGGATACGAGGTGGAATAAGTGGTGTGTGGAGTCACCTTATACCTGCTTGAGAGAACCATCTCTGTAAACTTCTTTCTAGCTCTATTCAGTAACCTTACATTGATAGCTAGAAGTCAGTCAGAGTTGGGAGTTCATGCCACAGAAACCAGCAAACACTAGAAAATGGGACTTCTTTCCTCTGTAGTGAGCTAGGACACATCTGGGTGGAACCTTATCTCATGGGTAGTTAGTTATGAAAGTTTGAAGCTCAGTATAGAAACCCGAGCAGAAGTTATTTGGAAGTGAAAATGCCTAGACTGCATGAGATTGGCCACTGAGAGCTGTTAGAGAGAGCAGAGGTAGAAGATAGAATTCTAAAGAACACGTTCAGGGAAGGTAGGAGGAAAAGGAGCCAGTGAATGAAACTGTGAAAGGTTGATCAAAGCGATGATGGAGACTAGGAGAGGGAAGCTCTACAGAAGTCAAGGGAGAAAGAGATTTTCAAAGGTAGGTATGATCAACACTGTTGATTAAATAGAATGGGTGAAGACCAAAGAAAGGGCCATGGGATTAGCTATTAGGAGGGCAGAAACCAATTTTAATTTTTAACCCCTAAAACCAATTTTAGTATAATCGAGGGATAAAGGCAGGGAGGCTATCAGGAGTAGAGATGAGGATACAAAGACTCGAAGCGTAGATTACTCTGAAGACATTTTATGGAGAAGAAAAGGAAAGGGACATGGCTGTAGCTTGAGTGAGGAAAAGCAGGAGGAAGAGTGAAAATCTGGGGGATAGGTGTGAGGTCAGCCTGAGGATGTCTGAAGCCTCTGAGCCCCAGGTGGCTGGAATTCACTCATTAGTCGTGGAGTCAGTCTGTCTGGTGATGTGCTTTTCCGGAAATGTTTGCCAGTTCAGGAACAGCACCAGAAAGGAGGGTTACCTGGGCTTGGAAATTAGGAGAGTAGTTTGGCCAATGGCAAAGAAAAGAAGGGAATTGATGGTAATGTGAAAAGATAGATTATTTATTTCTAGTTAAGATGCCATATATTTGTATTGTTAGAAATCTGAACAAAACAACAACAACAAAAGAAAGTGGGGGTGTCTCCATAACCACAACCTCATTTGGTACTTATTTAACAATGTGATACATATCTTCTAGACACTTCTGCACGCTGAAGTATAATACTAATTAAAAGGGCTGAGTCATACAGACCTGGGTTTGTATCCAGTACTACTGTACTAGCTCTAAGGCCTTGGGCAAGTTACACAGCCTTCTAACCCCTCAGTTTCCTAATCTGTAAAATAGAAATAATAATAACATCTATATCACGGGGTGCAGTGAGGCTTGAAAGATCATGCATGCTAATTGCTGAGAACAATAGTTGGTAGGCAGAGTGAACACTTGAGATACACATACACAAAAACACACACTTATATGGGAAAGAGAATTCATATATATAGGAATACACAAATACATACATAACATCAATAACCAGGAAGCACTGAACAATTTTGGTATTTGAGTGGGTTGGAAGAACCTACCCTAGGCAGAGTGTCGAAGTGGGAGGGTGGAATGTCATGGTCAGAGAGTGGAATTTGAAGTACAAGACCTCAGAGGTGAAGCTCTTCCAGAAGACGGCGGGCCCCGGATGGTCATGCCTCTAAGTTTCTACAGTGGAGAGAAAATAAAGAATTCTCTATTCAATATTTTAGCCAATTCCAAAATGTATTGTTCACTCCACGGTTAGTCTTCATTCCTCTGTGGCAATGTCTTAATGCCCTTTTTAGACTTGGTTTTCCTGGAGACTCTGGAACTGTGGATGTCAAATGGACTTGTTTGTATGCATTCAGTAACTGGGCTCTATGTTCTGGCCTGTCTAACCTGTCTTCAGGAGGTTTTTTCTTGCTCAAGTCGTTGATAACACCTCTACTAACCTCAATCAAGATGAAGGTGGTTTTGTGCTACGTCCAAGACTCACAGTGTTTCCCAGGGGCACTATGATTCACAGGCACCTGGCTCCTTTATCCAGGCACCAAGTTATTTATTCCACATGCATAATGTCATCAATTCCCCCTTCCCACTCCTACTATTCCCGCGCTAATCAAGGTTTGCAAAAGCTCTACCCTTGACAGCTACATAATGTTTCCTTTGATAGACAAGTTATGCTCATTATAAGAAACATGCTATTTAGCTCATACAAATTCAATGTACATCCTTTATTTTTATTTTTTTTAATGTGCCTCCTTTTAAACTTTTGTCCACATAAACAAGTAAATTCACATATATTAAATTTTTGGTCCATTTTACAAGATTCTATTTTAATTTAGCAATATAATGCTAATATTTTACCAAGCCAATAAGTACATATGTGCAGTATCCGTTCAAATTGCTCTATATATTCCCTTTGTAGAAAAAATGTGGGTTATTTATTATAAGTTTGGTTGTTTACAATTTTTAGTTTTTGAAGTACCACTTCAGTGAATATCATTGCAGTTAAATCTTTGTGCATGTTTTAAATTATTTATTTGTGATAAATCTCTGGGAATGGATTTTCTTAGTCAAAGTATATGCATTTTTATTTCCTTCTTACTCTTTTTTCCTCCTCCATGGGTGTCCCTCACCGCCAGAATACATTTTACCTTCTTGTGGCAAAATTACTTCTCTAAAAATGATGGACTTGTAATCATTTTACTTCCCTATTCAGAAATCGTCAATATTTCCATTGCACACGGGGGTCAATAAAGTCCAGATATCTTGCCATGGCATTTGTGGCCTTCCAGGATAGCCTCAACCTTCCTTTCATTTAGGTTTCCCCTGTTCAACTTACTTTACACTCATCCATTCTGGACTCCATGTTGGGGCATTATTCCCTTTGCTTGTAGAATTCCTACTTCACTGGGCCAGATCCTGGCAGGAGGTGTGTGGCATCCTCAAACTGGATTATTTAATGAGCTTTTGTTCTTTGATAACTGTTTACCAAGGTGAGAATAGAATTTAGGGAATGCACGAGGCATAGTGCAGTCAGTCCTCTGGCCAAACGACACCAGTGAGCCCTTACCACCCAGTGGCCTGTAGGAGCAAGAGGAAAGAGAAAGCGATGACTGGGACCTGGTGAAGAGAACTCCATGGAGAGGGCCACCTGATATCTGTAGCAACGCCCTGACAACTAGGCAGGAAGTTAAAGGACTAAATATTCCAGCTATACTTTCTATCCACCCTCAAAACTCCTGCTGGAAATCAGCTAAACCCAAGCCAGAGGGCACTGGAGCCCATTGATACTGTACCTATAGGTGAGCCTGCCATGGTGAATAGGGGAGAATGGCTCTGATGGGACAAATGGAAGATTTCCAGCATCCTTTAAAGATTCCTACATGTAACATCATCATGTGCTTTAGTGCTTCTCTTAGGGCAGGGGTCCTCAAACTACGGCCCGCAGGCCACATGCAAATACAAATATTGTATTTGTTCCCGTTTTGTTTTTTTTTACTTCAAAATAAGATATGTGCAGTGTGCATAGGAATTTGTTCATAGTTTTTTTTTTTTAAACTATAGTCCGGCCCTCCAACGGTCTGAGGGACAGTGAAGTGGCCCCCTGTTTAAAAAGTTTGAGGACCCCTGTCTTAGGGCATTTAATACAGTCTCAATTATATTTTATTTGTGCAAGATCTTATCTCCTCAATTAGATTCATAATCCTTTAAAGAGAGATATGGCTTTTTTTGCATGTGTGATCAGAAACTCAGGGTAAATTTGTTGTGAAGTTGTCCCCTACAAAGGGACTTCCTCAAGACAGTTGAGACAGAAGCAACAGATTCTCGGGATACAGTAGGAAAGATGAATTGATTGGACAAGGGTTGCTACATGGAAAGGGTATTAGGTACAAAGTCAGCATGTGAGGGAGCTACATAGACCCACATTCAGATTGTGCAGCACCCAGTGAGGCTAAGAGGAGAACCAAGCTATGCCTCTGAAGGATACAAGATGATAAAGTAACACCTTAGTGAATATGGCCAACCTGGAAATCCTAATGCCCCAGAGCAAGACTCCATGAGCCTCATGCTGGCTTGGCACACATCTCCAGTTTGTGCTGATCTGCAGCGATGCTGGAATCCCAGACCCAGCACATCCACCTTTTCTAGTCTAATCCCAGGGACAGTCCAAGATGTCAACCTAACTCCTCCTTCCTGATCAGGAAGCTCCGTGAAAGCTTCTACA